TCTCTGAAACTGCTAGCTTGCCTTCTGGGAAGCAGGGTATGTCAGGGGGCCACCCTACAGCGTGCTGGGGACAACTCCTCCGCTGCGAACCCAAAGGACAAAGGTGAGGATAATGCCAAGGAAGAGCTTGGACCTCAGGGTTTGTCTATGCTAAGCCTTCCTCCCAGGAGGCACCGAGCAGGCCCTGAGCAAAAAGAAGGGTCCCATGGCAAAAGGCACCAAAGCATCTTCAAGGCAAATCTAATCCCTCTGTGAAAAAAAATGTGCATTTATATGTCCTTTATTCTGGACAAGTGCTGAGTAAGCGGAAAAGGGAATGATCTGCATGTTTGTAATAATGGTTCCTGATAGCTCTTCAGTGCTTTGTTGCCTTGATAAATACATGCCTCTGTCCGCTGGCGTTCTTTCTTGTAGAATGAGCGTGGGGGGGAACCGTGGCAAGCTGCTGGTTTAGTATGTGGGTTTCCTGGGTGAAGGTGAATAATACATCTGAGTAAAACAAGATGACTCCTTATATGAATGACCTTTAAATATTATTAGATTACCTATCCATTTTCATTACTCATTTTCTGTTATCAATGTATTTCTCTTCTTTTATCCTTGGTCTCTCCGGTCATTACCACTATTCTGCATCTTCCATTCCAGAAGATACTAATAAGCATTGTAAAGATTCCCAGACCCTCCATGCAGAGATGTACATACACAGTCACAGGATGCGATGCTGTGTAAACCGGCAACAGATGTAGGCAGACTTCTTCAGTGGGAGTCTATTGCAATGATTTCACTATTTAAGTCACACAGCACCAAGGCAGCAGTTGTTTTTTTTTAAATATCTATTTACGCTTTTTTGTGACAAACATAATGATTGCAGAAATGAGAAATCTGCCTGCAAACAGTCCAAATTTAAATAAAATCACCCCCACACTAGACTATAACGGTGGCAGATGGACAGAGGAAGAAAGTGTATATAGTCATATTTTTTGCCATTATAGTATAGACCCTTTCAGATTGCAGCAAGCAACTTGCCATCTGCAAATCTGAGTCCTTCCTTTTCTGCTGAGGCACTGATTCAAGAATCATGATTTCTAAAGTTTGAGTTAAAGTATTAAGTGGTTCATCTCTCATTTTAAAGGCATACTTATCTCATGATTTTACTTCAGACACATGCGAAAGGAATCCTGGAAATTTCCCTCAGATTTCTCCTTAAGAAATTACTTGTTCTAGGACAAAACTAAAAACCCACTGGCTAACAGTGAGGTATGGATCGTGCACATCAATAGCTTTTTGTAAAATATTTTCTTATAGTTGGTCTCCCTTCTTTTGCTTTTTTTACTCTATAGGCAAATGATCTGCTCTATGACTCTCTGGTATATAGATTACAATGAGCTCCTTCATTACTGCAATAGAAATACTAAACAGCAGCAATGGGTGTTTGATTTTTAGCGTTGTCCCTCTGAAGCAATTAAGAATCTTGATCGCTTCATAAACATGTCACTGATTTTTAAAGGCCAGATCTTGGCCGTTGATTTAGTGGAAGCGTCAATGTAATAGATTTTGGGTTTAATCTGTGCATATTTTAAAAAACCCTCAGTGTGAAATGCTGCATTCCACACTGTCGTTTTCCACAGTTTTATCTGACCATGAGTTTTAAAAGCAATGACAAGGATTTTAGCATCACAGAGCTCAGGCAAGCATTTGCAAGTTACAGCAAGTTACAGCGTTTCTGATGCTTTCACATTACGGGGAGGGAGTTGCTTAGTCTAAGGGTCATGACTGTCTTACAGGTTTAACAATTTTTTTCCCTCTGTGTAGCCAGCAGTAACCAAAAAGTCTCCTTTGGGGATGAAAGCCTGTTTTGAACTTGTCTAAAAAGGAGAGGATGCAATTCAATTCTGGCAATTCCTTTTCAAGAGGTATTGCAGTATGCATTTCAGTACTTCTAATTTTTACCAAATCAGGGCTGGTCTCTACAGGAGCAAAAAGAGGAAAGGTTTCTTTTGTTAGTCATAGATGTGAGAGCCACATACAAAATAAAGTATTAAATACAGTAATAACAGTAATTTTTGTTAAAATATTTCTACACAATAAGCCTGTGGCTTTGAAAACTCTACCAGAAGCAAAAGAAAAACAATCTGTAATGAAAAAATTGAAATCAGAAGCCACTAATAACACTAAAGGGAGCCCAGAAGCCAAATTAATGTTTCTACAAAGAAATACTTTCCTACACCAGGCAAATTCATAGTAAGACTCTTACCTGGGTCTTTATATATAGGATTCAGATTTCATTTTGAAGCGTGCTTTTTACAAACTGTTTAGTGTTCATATGTCATTACCACTGTTGGGCCAGATTGCACCTGGCATCGATATAAACAAAGCTTTGGCAAGAATTCTTTCCTTTGGGATGGAGACATCTGATTTTCAAGCTGAAAACATGTCAGTGTTGCAAGACACTCCAAATAGCCTGTTTTACCAGTGCAGTAAATTAACCCGCCTGGTGTAGTGTTAAATGCTTTACAAACATCGACTGAAGGCAAGGGAGGGAAACAGCAAAAAACAAACAAAAACATTTCAATAACTCGTTTGACTAGTAGCCGTGAAAAAAGTACAACAAAAGCATGAAGGAAGGAGGTGATTCTTGGGAGATGGGAGACCAGAAGAGCAAAATTTCTGAATTGTGTCCTGTGTTCAGCCCACATGTGGCATGTGCCATGGCATGGTTCTGGGAAGGGAAGACAGAGAGGTGGAACAGAATAGGTTATATAGAAGATAGAAAGGCATCTTCCAGCAGAAAATTTCATTTGAAAAACAGGTTAGGAGAACTGCTAGCACTGACTCTAACTCAACGTAACCTTGTCTGTCAGAGAAGGGCTCTGTGAAAGCAATTACATCCAAGAGGATTGTCTTTAATGCAGTGCAAACCACTAGTGGTCAAAGACTACGTAGGCAAAGCAGAGGATAAAATATTAGGCTTTCCCCCTTGCTTCCACATTGTCCAGGATAAAAAAGCCAAGCTGAACTTTTGGGCATGCGGAATTTGCTGATTGAAGGCTCACAGTGCTACATCGTGCATTCGTGTTAAGTCTGAATGTTATATTGAACAATAGGGTTCAACCTGCCTGCGGCTGTAAAGTGATTCTGCAATATATGTGTTAAACTATAATAGCTAGAAAGTAGATCCAAATGCGTACGGAGTTGAACAGTCACCTGTCCTGAGAAGCAAAGGCTGAAGCACTGTTCTATATGTATATATATATATATACCTTTTTGTGATCAAATAGACTGAAGCCATTTTGCTACTTGTCTTGCTATTTTAGTTATCCTAATATCCATCTATTTACAAACATGCCTATAAATGGGCTAGAATAATTCATTAATATTCAGCACCACTCGCAAAATGTGACAAAGTTTGTGTTAGGGTGGGTGATCATTCAAAAGAGGATTAGATGTGTATTAAGTGTAGATTTATAGTAATAAGATTCCGTGTGATTGATTCTTGTTTGGACAGCAATAGAGGACTTAGCTTCCATACTGGCAGAGATTATATCTGGTCAACAGGAAATGAAAACTGGCCAAGAAACTGCCAACACAGAATTTGAAGCTGTGAAACCTGGTCAAGAAGAAATAAAGCCAAGTAAGCAACAGATGAAAAATTATCTTAAAGCAAAGATCAAATCACTCAGTTGGAAATGAGAGTTGTATTGGAAAAGGTGATATTGAGAGCATGAAGGGACAGAGGAATGTTTTTCTTAACATAATATTCATGAATAAACTGAAGTGATGAACACTGGTAATTTCAAAATAATGGACCTTAACATTTTTTCGAGAAAATGGAGAAGAAGTAGAAAGTTTTAATATGCTCAAAGACTTCTGAAAGACAAATAGCAGAGAGAGAATCATTTGGGAGGACACACCAGAGGTTTGAAGCCCACTTGGGAAGGTAATAACTCAAATGAAGAACCAGAAAAGAGGCTTTGGTAAGAGACATATTTTACCACACTTTTCTGGTACTGTTGTATCTGGTGCAGCACCTCCAGACTTTGGAGGAGTCCAGTCAGCTCAAGAGGAACAACCCACGTGGAGCTGCAGAAACCTACTGCCTCTGAAGGCGAGACTTCCCAGGAAGTTCCTTTGGCCATTGCACGCTGAATGAAAGAGTGGAGAGAGAAATGGGTAGGGGATTAGCTGATTGATTAAGTGGAACAGCTCTGCTGTCACTGTTTATTTTCCTCTCAGAAAAGAAACTAAGTTTTCTAGAGCAAACATTGCATAAGCCATTTGAGGACCGCCCTGGCCACAGCCCCAGCTACAAGGGGCAAGGCACCTGAACTAGCAAAGAGCTCCAACAGCCTGCTGTAACCATAACCACATACCAGCACAAGCGCTGCAAACACGCTAATGGGGGGCCGGTGTCTCGGTGCCTGCCTGAAATGAGCAAATGGAGCAGAGGAACTTGCTTAGGTTGTAGGTCCAGCTACCAGACTGACGTGATGCTCAGTGGCAGGCTGGCGGCGAGTGACGGAAGTATCACCTGAATCCTATCAGGATTAATCTGCATCTGATGCATATGACAGGAGCAGGGATTCTTGTTGGAGAAGAAGTATCTGAGAGCTTTGGGGAAAAAAGTTTCATGCTGTTCTGAATACAAAACACATTATTACGGGGGTAGTCAAAAAGGGTAAACAGGCAGGTTTACCTGGTGAAGCAAAACAGTGTCTATTAAAAAGTGTTCTTCAGGTTAGTAGGGCACATTTTCATGAATCTCTTTTGGCAGTTCTTTATTCAAATCAAGAAGGAGGTTCATTTCAAGTCAAAGGGACAACAAAATGATAATACATATGCAAAATATATATTTACCAGACAGTTTAGACAAGAATAAAAGAAGTTGGGATCCTGTGAGGAAAAATGATAATTTAACGGATGTCAAACTTGTGAATACTGACTTCCATTTTATCTCTATTGGCTTAAAATTAATGTAAAGAAAACAGAGCACCACTGCTGTATGAATGCAATTATAGTGCTACAAGATCTTTATTGTCCGTAAAGTTCATTCACATAGGAAAATAAAATACACTATCAGCATTTTGGTAAATAGATGCCTGCCGAAGCTTTGCATCACCTTAATGTTATTGATATTAACTAAATCCGAAATAGTTAAATCAGTACAAAAGCAGGGTCGTCAAGGCCAGCTCCAGCATTTATTAGACAACATTTGCTGTGTACGTATGTGTCTTACTAGTCTTATATTGATAGGACGTTAGGCTGAATCATTGTCCAAAACGTGAAGGAAAATACTTGATAAGCCAGGTCTGAGGAGTTTGCGCTTGAAGTCAGGCAGACTGCTTGAGGTAAATGAGATCCGTATTGGGTTTGAACTTGGATGTATCTAACAGCAGGCAGTGGAAACACAAGTGAAAGAGCCGACACATTCAGATCTCGAAAAAAGGTTATGAAGGGAGCGACTTTAAGTTAAGGCAAAGGCTGTGGCAGTCAGCATGTCAAGTATTTAACAAAGCGTGCTGATTTCAGAGACCCCAGTCAGTCATGCTTAGGTAACCTTACAGGTAAATAGGTATGTATGTAAGAATAGGGGCTGTGAATGATGCTTGCTATGGGTTGCAGGGGCTTGCTTGAATCCTGCCTCTCTCGATTAGCCAGAAACAAGTAGGAAAGCTAGAGGTTGTGACGGCTCTGGCAATTCAGTCTACAAACTCACAAGCCAGGCCCCCTCAAAAAGAAGGCCAGATTTCTATAATTAATTAACTCAGAGAGGAAAAAACACATTTGAGTCTGAACCTGGTGGCTTTCCTGAAGATGCACCTTTCCTGCATGCCCGTAGTGTGAAATCTTGGCTGCTTAGCTGGTTGACTCTAGTTCTCTAGGGGCAGCTGTGCAAATTGTTGGTGCTGATGGAAGAAAACAGCTGAAGAAGTGCCTCTTTGAGTTGCTGTCACTCCTAGCTGCTTATGCCATCCTTTGCAACCCCCTTGCTCGCAATGATGCAGGTGTTTGTGTGGCCATGCTGTAGACAGGAACGCTGAAACGTTCGGGCTTTAAAAAATCCCCATTCTCCCACTCAGAAGTAAAACAAACCTGGGTTTTTCTAGTATGATTGCTTCAGTGCTCCAGTTTGCATCTTGGCTCAAGAAACAGTTGTATTGGAAGTGCTAGGGTGGGGGAAAAAAATCTGTGGCATGGAGTGGGAATAAGTAGGAGAGGCAGAAGAGGGGTAGGAACTGCTTAGATCTTGAAGAAATCAACATACGTAGCTTTTATCTAATCCTTTTCTTGAGGAATATGCACTAACCTTTAAACCTTGCAGATATTCCAGAAGCTCCGCTAAGGAGCACCTCCTCAGGCAGGCTAGCATTAAAAATAATTGATTTTATTAGAAAAAAAGTACAGTTGAAGAAAAGCTTAAAGAAAGAAATGTGGCTAGTTCCAGTAATTTGTTCCAGGGTAGTCAGGAATATCTGAATGAGGAGCTTAAGAAGGTTTTGAGGAACACCAATAAACAATTAAGATTCCTCTGTATGTCTGTAAAGATGTGTGTTATATTGTACCAGGAAAGTACAATACACTTATATTAGTGATGTACAAATATTGTGAACATAAGATTGGCTCAGGGAAGATTTGACGTAGAAAATAACCACCAGCTTGGGTTCCACTTTCACACTGAAGAAAATCACTTGTTTAACACTGATCATAGGTCTAGGCAGGGACAAATTCACATCATCAGATTTGATTTAGACCACAGAAAACAAGTGAAGTCATTTCTAAAAAGGTCCTTACTCCTTGCGGTGAATGCATGAGTCACAGAGTTAATCTTATTTTATACATGAGGGCTCTGTTTCTGCATCAGCTAGTCACTGCTGATGCAGAGACATGCAGGATGTGGCATTTTGGTGCTGTATCCTCTCTGCCACTTCAGGGGGAGACGGAGCGTGCCGTCATTTTTGTGCTCTTGCCCCCAGACTGAACAGCTGTAAATGGCCTCATGAAGTTGTTAGGAACATCTGAGGAAGGAAGCCCTTCCAGTAGGGAAGGAAGAAGGATTTCTGGCAAAATCTGGCGAAGTGAGGTTTGTCCTCATTAAGGTAAGCACTAATTGGGAAATACATGTACAAAACAAGTCTGCTTTGCAGGAAGGCAAGAGTTGTGTCAATTTAGTGTAAAGCTGGTTAGATCAAAGTTTCCCATATTGAACAACATGAACGACCCTGTGGAGAGCTCTCTCTTCAGTGCTTCTGGCCTCTACTTTCAAGCTTCTGAACATGAAGGCATCTAAAATTATGTTCATACTCTCCTAACATTACTCTCCCATAGAAGTAATTAGTATAATTATAGGCTACTTCTACAACACTAAATGCAGCTGCTCCAGGGAGTGATGCCTGCTGCCCAGGCCTAGTGGGGCAGAGGGGCTCATGTCCACGTTGCGTAGGGGTGACCCTCTGGAGCGGACTAGCTGCCGTGACAGGTACATAGCAAGTGGCTCTGGATCTCCCCATGACTTACGGTGGTGTGCAGATGGACCTAGAGTGTAATTATTTTTCTGTTTGAACATCTGAAATAAGATGAGCGGTGCGTACGCTTAACGTGGGCTATTTTTAACATTTAGCTAAGGATATGTATTGCATGCCCTGGGGCATAGCACGACAGCACGTGTGAGTGTTTGAAGGCCTGGCTGAGCAAAGTGGAAGGAGCCACACTTGGTGCCATCTTGTCCATACTGCTTTTTGGGGGTGATCTCTGGAGAGAGCCGCCTCTAGAACCACACTTTCATTTTGGTTTGGAGGAAATAGCTGATTCACTCCAGAGGAGAGTCAGGATGTAAACTAGCAGTTAACGTCTTGTGGGCAGTCGGGGCCCAAGATCTCCAAGTGAAGTGGGAGCTAAGTTATCAGATGGCATGGGTGTTCCCATAGGGACAAGAAATTAAGATCAATCATTTAGTTTCACAAGGGAGGACAGGACTGCATGAGAAAATCTCTGCCTTGAGAAGCTGCCCACGAAATGAGAAGGTTTAAGAACTCCTGTTCCAGATAGTGCAAGGACCCGTCTGGTGGGAGCACTTCATGGTGTGCCTTGCTCAGCGTATGACATCTGAGTGATCAGTTGGTGTCATAAATCCTATGCTAAATCCGTTGCATGGAAACACATGCATCTACAAGATGACACCATTTAACTTTAAAATGTGAGTTGAAGATGATGAGATAAGAGATTTTCTTATGCAAGCATTCAGTCATACACAGTGTGGTCATGACCTGTAAGCCCTTGCATTTAAGGAATTCCTTAGGATTTTGCTCCCTTACAAAATATTCATTTACTAGTTTACCAGTGCAGATAAAACTACTGTATGAAAAATGAGGTGAGAGGTGGTCGCAGAGCTGTTGATCAGTATTTTTACAGTTCAAAAAAAAGCATGATTGTTCCAAGTTTTCTCTTTAAAACACCTAGTTTTACTGAGATTGTGGGTAGATTGGGAAAAGTTTGTTCCAAAAAGAGAGCGAGGGAACAAAGCCGTGCCACACTCTACCTAATTTTTCTTAATGCCTTCTACATTCATAGGTGGTTCTGAGCAGCCTGGGACTAACACGTCGGCTCTTTAGGTGCGAACAGGCATAAGCCTTTGGCCTTCCTCCCTTTCTGCTTAGGAACTGTCTTACAGTTTGAGGAGTACTGCAGGTGCTTTTTTAATCGAGAAGATCTTTCCTGAGATTCAGTCTCCCGGTTGGCTTTTTTTCTGTTAAACTTTTATTTTCCCTTTATTCTGCCTTTAACCTTTCCCATTGTTTAATGTTTGTCATGTTTAGTTTTAACTATTTTTTCCAAACAATTTATCAATAATTGAAGAGTTAATGAGATGGCTTTTGATAGGGACAGTCGCTCATCTTTGAAATGTTTGATCGGTATCTCACTTAGAGTCATCACTTCTAAAATCAGCTACTGAATAGGAATTAACAGTTTGCTAAAGTAGATGTACTTTTGACAGAATGTAGAATAATATATTTCATTACCAGCACTAACAAAAAAATACATTTACAAAAATAATAAATGGATGCCTAGATGTGAACATTTTCCCTAATCATGTATTACATGTTGTGCCAAGACAATATGTCTTAAACCAGAATATTTTTTAAATAAAAACAACCATAACATATGGCTAAGTTCTTGTGCCCTGTGTAAGAAATGTGTAGCTATTTTTTTTTATTGATTACATCAGATTGAATATTTTGTGGTCTCATTTCGTCATGCAACAGCTCATTCAGATGGTCCAGGAAGACTAATTAACACTAATGCTTCTAAAGCATTTTCGTTTGTGATGCTAATCTGTCACACAAGGAAAAGCATCCTCAGAAAGCCTGGGGAAAAAGTAAAGAGACTGCATCTTGCAGCCAGCTTAAATTAGTGTTAGCTTGATTTGTCTTAATTGAAAGGTTGTTTACATCTCTTTCGTAAGTGTTTATAAAAGTTGGCAGACAAAAGAATAGCTGCCTACGTACGGGAACAAAATTTTCTTTTATTGGAGCTGTTGTATATGATACTATCATTAAAAAGTGTTTAAAATAGGATTGTACACACAGTCTCAAGCTCTAAGTCTGTCTCTGTATTTATGCATACACACACACACACACATAAAATGCTGCATCGTTATTACCACAAACAGAAGGACTTATATTAAGTCTTCATGCTATGTTAATATTTCCAAGTGCCGATTCATACTAGCAGCACACTGGCCTCTATTTACATTTTTATACGATATCTGCAAGTATGAAAAATATCTTAAACACAGTTTGTAAAAATGTCTTGCTCTTGCAGTAGTTTCCTCATGCTCAGGTCTCCTGGCTCAGCAGCAATGGGGTGCTTGCGTCACTGAGCCCCCGGAAAGCGATATGGGGAGCCGTCCGCTCTGGGTTCGGGCCTGCTGCCATGGTCTAACTCAAAAACCCTTATTGTGTGGTTCCCCACTTTTCTGGCCTCTTGAGGCAAACCATTGCCCGATGGTCATATCTGGAAATTGTCCAACTCGGATGATATCAGATAATCTCCACCGAACATCTCCAGGGTCCACAGTGTCCACGCTGGCAGAAGGAGGAGGGGAGATGCTTGCTAAGGTTGCACGGCAGCAAGCAGCCCCCAGTGATGCGTAGGCAGCCTTAAGAGATCTTGTCCTTGAAAAACACAGGGTAAATATTAATAACAGACACGTTAAGGCATTCTGAGATCTGAAATGAAACTACCAGCAACCATGGGTAAAGCAATTAAGATTCCTCAACAGAGCGTAATTAAATTGCAGGTTAGTTCCTAATGCTGAAGTAGTTTGCTTCGATGCTAACGTTGAGAAACCATGTACCGCGCGTAAAGACAATTCGCAGAGCAGAGAGAAAAGCAGCAGATGCTAGCGATGCGCAGTTAGATGAATCATCAGGTTATAAAGAATGTCTTCTTCAGAAAAGTGAAAAGGATTGTATAAGAAAGGAAAGGCTTGAATAGACCAAATAATCATTAAAGAAAAAAGTCAAAGATTTCAACAAAGAGTAGCGGAAAAATCGGAATCTTGCCGTTGTCTAAAACTTGTGTTTGCCTAAATTGCAGAGGAGAAATAGAGGTGTATCCTATGGTGGCCTTACTGTCCCTCCACCTCCTCACTCCTGCCACTTCTTTCCTTTAGGAGTGCGTGCTGGTTTTGGCATGTTCCCTGTTAAACCGAAAGAAAATGTGTTTTAAAACTTCGTAGGTCTTAAAAAACCCCCGAGTTGATTAACTGGCCAAGAAGGTAACTAAAATAAATGATTTAATAGCAGCTTCTAGAAGCTTTTGCAATGTATGTATTTTTAATGACAGTTTTTCAGTCTAACAAGACTAACTGGGAATAAATATTTACCATTTTAAAGATTTATTCTTACAAGTATCTGACACGAGTAGAAGACAGGTGTCATGAACAAGTATTTCCTGGTTGCAGAAACATTCTGCTGTGCCTTTCTGGTCTTCTTTGTTTCCGTGAAAACAAATGTAATTTTTCTTTTCTCCTGCCAGTCCCATTTGTGAATTTGAAGCTAAGTCATGCACCATTCTGTATGGCATCACTTCACTGAAGGAGACTAAGCATGTAAAAAATGTCAGGATTTCCCTCTGCAAACACTCAGTTTTGCCAAAGTAACATTATGGGAATGTATGTGCGCTTTTGCAGAGTCTTACGTGAGAAAGGCAACATCTAGAGTTGTGCGGCATGGACTAATATAAGGGACAAAAGATTCAGCAATGTCGAGTTCTCTAAACAAACCACTCCAGGGAAGTAACATTAACACATAATTGTATGTTTTTATCGTGTCAGACCCGTCACAAAAAAATGACTTGAACTGTGAGTACAGTAATTAATTTTTCTGCTGCCATTTGAAACATGCAAACTTCTTATCGCCATGAGGATGATACATTCTGGCCTGCCATTTTAGTGCATTTAGTCATATGTTTACATTTCTGTATGAATTACTATACGAAGATGTTAACGGGATGAGACCTATGCATGAACACATCTTTAGGTATACTCACTGTCTTTACATTGTGACCCTAAGGTCTCAAAAGAAAGGGGGCAAGAGTATGCCAGAAAGGTGAGGCAAAACAGGGATACAACTCAAAAGGAACAGGACATATTTATGCAGATATATGCCTTTCCCTTTTCTCCCCAAAATCAGGCAGTTCGGGAAATCGCAGTGCTGGAAAACTGGTTTGTGGGGGTATATTACCAGTTTCCAAAGAAAGCAGAAAATGATTTTTTTTCTCTCTGCTGTTCCAGGCCCCCAAACTCTGTTAATCTGAACATCTTTGTTTCATTATTGCTTTATTAACACAGCGTCCAGGATGAGTGGGTGGGTGAGCTTCCAGTTCTGTGGCATTCCTCCTGTTTCCAAGCTGAAATTTCTATATGTTGACATTATAACCTAAAGGAAAAGGAAGAAAAAAAGGAAGAGAAGAAAAGAAGGAAAGGTACTGATTCAGATGTTACGAGACTCCGATAATCGTGTTCTCTTAGGCTTTTCTTTAGGTGCGTTTATACTCCGTACGTTTTCGAAATAAGCCCACGGGGCTCCTCCTGAGTTGTCACATTCTTCCTCGAATCTCGTATTCTGCCTGCTTTATCCCATCCGACAGCAGAATTGATACCGCACTAATCCCTGGAAGTTTGGAACTAATGAACTAACTGCTGGGCTGCCGCCACGGAGCTTGGTCCCAAACTATACTGTACTTCACACTCGATTTATTCTCCAGATGGCGAGACTGTGCAGCCCTGCCGCGAGGGACCACCTCTTCCACTGGAGTGTAAAAGTGGACGGATGTTGTTTTCTTTGCAGATTTGATAATGCAGAGCTAGAAACTTGTGAGGATGGTTAGTTATTAGCTTTAATGGGTGCCAATTGAACCGGCTACACGTGCGTTCCCATCTCTAATTTCGGGGTCTGTGCGTCTTGGTGGCGGCTGATTTGTCTGCGATGCTGCGTCACCGCAACCTTTATCTCCTCCAGTTGGTATAGCCGTACGTGGTAATGAAAATCTTCCCGTGTCCTCCTCACAATCAAACACAACAGATGCAAAAGTAGCCACGTTGACCAATGTGGTGATGTTTAAATAGCCACCGAGTGGGTTTTCCAGCAAAAGTTGCAAATGTAACGTATTTTTAATAATATCGCTGCTTAGCATAGGAGCTGCCCGTTGTCGTGTTCTCTTCTTCTGTTTAATAAAGTACCCAGCTCCTGGGAACCTGGGCGCTAACTGGGATATAATCATCCCAAACCGCCTTGGGATGCAGTAAGGTAATTTAACATGTAGGTTTATTTCTTTATCGGTTATTCGTTTGTGACAGAGTATTGTCTGATGCTGTAGTTCTCACGTGAAAAGCAGAGTGAATCATTTCTTTCACTGGTCTTTTAAAAATTCTGGCTTGACCCTTCTTGGCAGGGAGTTTATATACAGTTTGGAAACCGTGCTTGTTCTTACACCTACCGCTGTAAAGGCATTACTGTAGCAAGTACCAATTTTTTTCTCTACTATTACGATTTTAAAGTAGTGTAGATAGCTTGAAATGTTGGCTTTTGCGCGCATCATGCAAAAAGACTAGCATCCACAATTCATTGCATAATGAGGCAGAAATGGCTTTCCAGGTATTTATCTGGGTTTTCAGTACATGTTCATATCTACCCGTGAAATGCTTTCTTGGAAACCTGTGTGGAGACCTGATGCTGCCTCCCGAACATCACTGGCATTTTCTCCGCTGTTTCGGGTAGACACAGAGTCAGACCCGGCACGAGGTCCGACTTTGGGTAACTAGGTCCTACCAGTTTGGCCCACGATTAAAAACGTGAATTGATTCCTGATTCGGAAATCATAATGACTGGAAGCATTTTATCATGGGAGAGAGCCTTTTCCATTCCTGGGGTATCTAGGCAGACGGATCTGGGCAGACAGACCTAAAACGTAGCGGTTCTAAGAAAACGCATCAATTCGCAACCCAACAGATGGCATGGGTGTGTTAACTAACATAGCAACATATTTTCTATTAAAATATGGGAAAAAACAACAACCCCCCTCCCCATGTTTGTTGCTTGGTATAAATTCAGTGAAGTTGTTGGTTATTTTTGGGATACGTACCAGAGGGCTGCACATGTAGTTTATGTAAATTGATAACAGCAACAGCCTGTTAATAAGGGTTTTGTATGGAAATATACCTAGAAAGACACGATCTGTCTTTTTTGGGAAGGGAGTTTACAGCCTGAGGAGAAAAATAGCTAACGAGATGGTCTACCGCTCATTATCATAACCGGGAAAAACATAATGACCCAGGTCGTAAGTTTTCCCGTGACGTGCCTTCTGTTGGAATCGGGTGCTGCCTTCGCGGATCATTTGGGGGGAGATCTCTTATTCTGCAAATTGGATCAGCGTGTGCTGAAACTGGGATAATCTGACTTCGGCTCAGAGCGTAAATTGGTCGGGAGCACGTTTATAAACTCCCCGGCTGCATCACATCCAGAAACTTTGAGCCCAACCCAGAAAGCCAGTTGCTCCTGGACGGAGGAGGGAAACGTGGCGGATGTGCGTTCGCCGGTCGTGGCATCACACGCTTCGGTTTACATAATCCCGAGAGCCTCTTTGGGGACGGCTGCGCCCTGGCGCTGTCTTGCAGCCGAACGTGGCGTGCACCTTTGCGCAGCTTTCCTAATGGCGCCAGCGAGCGCCCCTTCCCAGCAGCTGGAGCGTTGCTGCTGGGGTTTTCCAGGGGCTGCCTCCGGACGGGCTCCTTGGGCGCAGCCTCTGTGTCGTCCTCGTCGGTCCGACCGCGGGGCGCACGTTTAACACCTGGGGCGAAGGCTGACTGGTAGCCCCAAGCTGTCCGATTCAGGTTTTCGGGTAGCCTTCTGCTTCACTCCCCCTTCCCTTTAAGCTGCTGGGAGCCATCGCTTGCTTTTGCCCGCACGTACTACCCGCCGCC